ATTGAATTGGTTTTCACATAACGACAACGGCTGATCACCCAAAGGATAACATCTAAATGAACAAGAAACAAAATAAAAGCGACACAATTTATGTTCACACGTGCCAAGAAAAACAAAAATACACAAATATACGCCAATTGTGGTATTCATAGCGCAACGGTAAACTCGTCAATTGAATATCATATATTGTGGTGTTCTTCTATTATATAATGATATTGCGGTTATACAATGTGCACGATATGATATTGGAATGAGCTGAAATTAAAAAAAAATGTATTTAAGCAATAATTTTCGTTAGATATAACTGAAGTATTGCTTTTTGTCTTAAAATATATTCTTGAATACATATGAAGTGCAAAACTTCATTTAAGAATCGAAAAAAAATCGTATTTTTGTGATTGATTTTTTTTTGAAGCGGAATTTTTTTTACGACTTTAAAAAAAATGAGCATAAAGAAAATTTAATATACTTTAAGAATCAGTGATTAATTTTTAAAAATATTGAGTCCTCTTGTTCCTATAGCCGATCACCAGACGGACTTCCGGAAAAAGGTGTCTGGCGGTGAGGAAGATATTTCGGCGTTAAATTATCTGAAGCCAAAAACCAATGAAATTTAGTATTATGATCGAAGGAAAAGTGAAAATTTTGATTTTTGAGAAAATCGCGGCTTCCTAAACATAAAAAAACCAAACTCATCGAATTTATTGCAATTGACGTCCTCGTGCTACAGGGAGCAAATTCTCAAAATTACGAAAAGGCTATACCTATATCCCATATAACGATGTTATTCAAAATCGCTCATTCTCTATATAAAACCATCATCTGGCCAGTGTTGTGCTAAGGAGTAGAATAATGGACGCTACTTGAAAAGAACAACACCAAGTAGGGAATCTTCGAAAGAAAGATCCTATGAAAACTCTTTGGAGCAATAAAAGATAATGAATAGTGGCGTATAAGGTGGAACGATGAGCTAGACCAGCGTATAAAAGGTGACTAAGATGGCTCGGCCATGGACAAGACGAGAGCACAAAAGAAAATTAAAGAGGCTACAGCATTCACAACTAAAGCAAGGGGAAGACCACGATCAACATGGATTGACGAACTCGAAGAAGACATGAAGACGCTTGGCATACAAAATTATAAATAAACCGGATATGACGGGAATATCTGAAGAGCACATGTGCAGCAAGCCAAAGCTCACAAGAAACTGTAACGCAGCTGTTTTGCAGCTAACACCCATGCAGTGTGTGCCATTTTCGTCTGTCTGTGTGATTTTAAAGTTAATATCTCAGCCAGAAAGTAACGTTACTTAACGAAGTAAAGTTCCTACCTTTAAGAAAAGCTAAAAATAAAGCTCCATTAGAACAATCATTTGGAAAAAAGCGACTAATATCGTGTTTTGTCATATGTTCTTGTAGACAACTCGTCTTAGATGCTTATCCCACAAAGCCACCTATCAGTTATATCACTGGTAAATTGACCAACAGCGCGAGTGTATGCGTGATCGTTCATCCCTTTCTTGAGCGAAGGCATTATGAGTTGACGGTGTGCATGGGTTAGTTTCTGCGCAAATTCTTTCTTGACTCCGGTAGCCGTGACTTGCTGCGTAGGGTTTCTAAAATTATTTAATGTTTCATCTGAATCAGCTCTTGCTCCTGTTGTATATTATAGTATAGCCCATAAATAAAAATTATTGTTACAATGGGTAGACATATGACTGATGAACAAAAAAAGCTAAACGTAAACGAGATCGTAATAGGTACCATGAAAATAAAAAATTATGAAATAATGTGTTTAAAGAAGAAGGAATGCGAACGCTTATACCGTTTACGAAGTTTAAATTAGAGGCCGAAAAAGAACAATTACAAAAAATCAACAAAAATAAAAAATAATTTATATAAATTATTTATATTATATAACTAAAATTGCAAATTTATTTCATTATTATTATTATTAGTATTATTATTATTATTACACTTAAACTTAATACTACAAACTTATTCAATCATAATTCCATATATCATTTCATGTATGCGTTGTTCGTACATGGTTTTACTTTTTGGTTTGTAAACAGAAATAATATATGCAATTTTTCTTTCATATTTCTTTACATGTACATATGTCATGAAAATGCCGACGGCAAAACGCAATTCTGTACTTTTGTGACTCCATAATGGTGTCAAGTACATGAATTATTTTAATAAATATATTAAAATACTTTTAAATTATTACTAATAACTCACAATGAAGTACAAATTAATTAACACAAAATAATTTAAAAAAAAATAATAAATAATAGTTCAATAAAAGGGAATATATTTCAAATGGTATATTAAAATTTTGTATATTTTTTAAATTTATTAAACAGTATTTTGTGCCAGAATTAAATATTGTTAAATTTTTTTATGGAAGAATAACTCTCTGACAAGAACTGTTATCTGGGGCAGGGTGAATAACTCCAATGAAAAAAGATTGTAGTAAAGAGAGCACTCACATACATTCCCTATATACATTCGGTGTTTTTCCACAAATCCACTTGCACACTCATAGGCGCACACAACGAATAAGTTAACAACAATAAACAACTTAAGTCAAAAATGCGAATTCCCAAGGAAGCTGGGTAAACACATTACTCCAGGGGAAATAGTTTTTCTATTATCTATTATATTGTACCAAGCGACTTCTGGGTTACACGCCTTTATTACGTTTCAATATTATTAAAAATATTTTACGTTTTAAATGAACTTGAAGAGAAAAACATTTTAAGCATATGCAAAACTTAAACGCTTTCACATTTGTTTCGACCAACGCTTGTTTGCTATCTGCTCTACATGAGTTCGGTAGCAGTCGCTGCTCAAAAAAATAAAATCTTCTTTCAATTTCATGTGTGCATTAAGCATAACTCCATAAACTCATTCTACATAACCTAGAAAAAAATTGGCTAGCAAAAGCTTTTGAATTGGCTCGCATGCGTAAAGGGAGTTAGCAAGTGTAGTTGTTAACAACACAACAACTAAATGTTAGCTGGCTGTTCGAATCACACGTTGGCTGGTGGCAATTCGGTTAGTTGGCTCGTTTTAAGTTTGCTCCTTTGCAAAAATGAATGCTGGCAAAGTTAGTGTGTATGTGTCTCTTCTTTTTTTGCTTTTTCGAGACGAGTTTGGATATTCATGCAAATTGATTTATATTGGCAAACAAGCTAGATTGAAAATAAATAAAAGGCACAAAAAGGACGCCAAAAGTGGCGAGCAAGAAGCGATAGTGAAAAGAGATAGTGAGAGATGCAATAAAAATTAATGAGTATGTATGTGTAACAGAGTCGCTGCCAATGTGGAAAAAACTATTTTTTTCTGATTTTACACGTCAAGGGCGCTGATTGCTCGTGGAAGTTGTGTGCGTGTTTGTGTGATTCTCGCTTGCGCCCGCACGCTTGGTACACAACCAAATGCTATCATGTAAAATCGATTTGAAGGATTTAATGTAGAAAATGCTGCTTTAATTGATTAATGACATAAGTGAATGGCTGTAAGCCAAAAGCTGCTAAGTGGATTCTCTGTCTTCTTACCTTCGTGGTAAATTCAGCGAAAAATGTCTAATTAAAGTAATTTAGAGCTATCAGCACGGAAGTCAATGAATGTAGATGTAACTTCCTATTTAATTTAATTATAATTTTTTTTCAAAGTTTGTAGTCCTTACTTTGGAAAATCATTCTTTTGACGCATATTATTTGTGGCAAATTAAAAAAATCATTTATTATTAATACTATTTGTTATGTTCGTAAGGGAAAATGCCATAAAAAATCAATGAAAGCTAGAGCATATATGTAGGTAAATATTTATTTAGCGCTTGCAACGCTGCCACATGAAGTTTCTGGTGTGCGTCTTGATGTTGCCCAACTAATGGTGGTACCTTAAAGTTTTATACTGACTACAAATATCTCTAAATTTCTTAACAAATCTTGTATTGAACACCACCAATGTAGAGCGAAAACTTACATTATCACCATTTTCTGTTTCTCGTCGGAGAAGGCTACAAACTGCGCACAAATTGGTCAGATCGAACCATTGTAGCATGTAGCTGCGATATAAACTGGCCGATCAAAAGATACATTAAGACCATTTTATATCGTTTAATGCTATAACAAATGCACCTTTGAAAGCAATTATAGCTTTGATGCCTCCGAAGTTATCGTTTTTTCTTTTATGCCTTGAGCAGGGTATATTAAGTTTGCCACAATGTTTATAACATCCGAAAAAAAACGTCGCATACCTTATAAAGTATATAGGTATATAAATGATTAGCGTAACGAGCTGAGACTATTTCTCTCAGTTTTTGAGATATCGATCTGAAATTAGGCACACGTCCTTTCCTCCTTAAGAAGCTGCACATTTATCGAAATCGCCAATAACGGACCTCTATAACATATAGTCGTCCTACAAACTAAACGATCGGAATAAAGTACTTGTATGGAAAACTTTCTCATTTCACGAGATATCTTCACTTTTGGCATATATTATTTTATTATTATTCAAGGCAAGACAACAATCTCCGAACAAATTATTCGATTCGGAGTATTATAGCATATAGCTGCCATACAAACTGATCGGTCAAAATCAAGTCTTTGTATAGAAAACTTTTATTTGATTAGATATCTTACCAAAAATTGGCATGAATTATTAGCCAATGCAAGGCTACAATCTCCGAACGTATTGTTCACATTCGGACACTATACTATAAAGCTGCCGAACAAAAAAAACAGATACAAGAACTTTTTATACCCCTTAATGTTATGAAAAATGTACCTGTGAAGCTTATTTATATTTTATGCTTATTTATATTTTAAATTTGTTGTATTTTTATAATAGTTAGTTTACCCATCGAAGTAACACCAAATATCTAGTAATATAATAGAAGCCATAGTAAATGTTGTTGATTTACTCATTTAACTTAAACTTTATCATAGTTTTACCTAAAAATATTTAATCAATTTTTTTTTACAGCAATCTGCGTTAGTAAATAGTACGCGGTATTACATGGCGTATACGTTACTTCGACTAAGTACGCGTAACAAGTTGAAATGTTTACAATATTACAATGCTATAACATATTTATATATTTTGATATAATTGAAAAAAATGTGGATTAATTTTTGACAACTCAATGACATAAATAATTTTCAATATTCAAATGCTCATTTGAAATCAAAAAAAAAACAAGCGGTAAGTAGAAAAAACTTAGTTATTAAATGTGATGATATAATAATGATATTATATTTCATTTATAAATAAATTCTACTATTGCTTTCTTCCGTTTAAAGCAAATATACAAACTTTTTGTATCTCGAACTATTTTTTTTTATCCCAACCAAAAAGGGTGACTAATTTCGATACTAACAAAGCTTTGGCATTCCAAACAATTTTTAAAATATTTGATTTCCGCTGTGATACATCCTTTTATTTTATTTACTATGCTTGATAAGAGTGCCTTCAAATAAAATATCTAATCAAAAACCAAATTTATTCAAGATATCTTTCGTACTCTCTACTCAAATATGTCGCAAATCAAGCGGGCGAGGGAAGGAAGTCTACTTATGCAGCAAAAGTTATTTATGATACTGCTGAGAAACAAACTAAAAAATATTTTCATTTTTCGCTTAGGAGCGCAAGGTTAGCCAACTATATTTACAAGTATAATATAGTATTATTATTGTGTATTCTTAACATTTATTATAATTCAATAAAGAAAGAATTTCATATACATTTATACGAAGCATATGACTACAATCCAAGCGGCTACAAGCATACATCCAAATAGTCATATTTCATATATTGTGTGTATGCGTGTGTGTTCACCCACTCAAGTATTTATTTGGCTTTTCCCATTATTGCATTTTACTTATGCCACGCGTTCAAGGCATCCGACCGCCCATAGGCGTATTTCCGGTCAACGCCAGTGTGCAGTCAAGCGAGCACGCACGCATACACAAACACACATTAAGCATGAACTTTCCCGACAAAGACTAAATAAATATAGACATTTGTGTAATGCCGAATATAACACAATGGTGGCAAGCAAAAAGTGAGAGTAAGAAAGTTCACTGCCGACGAAGTCTGCATAACGGACTGCGTTGGTAACGTAAAAAATGAAATTGCTCATAGCTTGTTCTTAACCAAGCATGTGTACCCATCTTTTCGTGTACTAATGCCGAATAGTGGAATGGCGTGCGTTCAAGGGCGCTTGACTGTGTGCTACAACCATTGTGCACAGCAGCATAGCTTTGTTGTTGTTGTTTTTTTTTTGTGAATATACATATATATATAAGTATATTGCTGTGCGAAAGTAAATGAAACTACCAGCTTATTTAGATTCAACTGTTGCCACTGCTAGTGAACTCATTTTACACATTTTCTTCCATTTGTCCCTCTCTTTTTTTCTTGATTTTTTTTTTTTTCATTTTTATTTTCATTCTTAAAATAGCCAAGTGTGAGTATATCAATGTTTATATTCAAAAAGTTTAATCTATCAATATATTCTATAAATAATGGGAACGAATGAGTACGAGGTATTTGGAAAGAATAGAAATATCTAAAATATGCTTAGAATCTACCCAGAAAGGCACTGACAATATGTATTAAAGAAGCCATCTTCGATTCGCCACTGCTCTGTTTACTATTTTTCCATGCTGCTCTCTTGTCAAATGTTTAACATGTGAAACCAGCAACAAAGTTACCGAGTTAAATTCCATACAAAAGAGTATGAAGAAACCCTAGCAATGTTTAACCTCTTTCTTCTATTATACCAGGCTTACTCTTGGGAATGATTCAAATTATAGATGACTGTTAAAGCTGACTACGCTTTATGGGTTTTTATTTTATTTTTATTTTAAAGGCTTAAAACTCGAAGTAATATATATTTGTAAATAAATAAACAAATGGCTTAGTGTGGTTCGATTCGCTACTCTCTAATGTTTCAAGAATCGAAGACAGCTTATATGTAGTCGTTTAGGAGATAAACTTTGTATTTTTCATAGGCGTTCTAGGTAAGGGTTATTCATATTCGTAAAGATATTTTTTTTTGTTATAAAATTATTCTCTCCCACACTTATGTGCCTGACGCTAATTTCAACTGGTTGGTTAACTGATCTCCGCTAGAACTTTTATTTTCGAAGTAATCTAAACCTCTGACAATATATTCATTCATGCTAGATAATTAGCACAGGGCCAATAGGGGCACTCCTCGTGACAGAATTATTGTTAGTTTCATATTGTGGGTACTGTGTCTTAATGCCAGAGTCTAGAGTGATTTTTTGTGCTACGCTAAATATAAATGGATAATGTTTGACTCACCGTGGTGGGTCCTTTTCATTTAGAAAATATACCCTGTGTTTAGTTATTGCCAAGGAACTATATAACTCGTTGTCTGTCACATATGTGCATATACTTGTAATATTCAAAACAAAAAATGTCACATAAAATAAATAATTAAAACACAAAGAGAAGCAAGAAGAATGAAGTTCTCCCACGTGCCCATTACACATTACATAATGTTACATACTTACACATAAAATATGCATACATATAATCCCATACATATATCCAAATGAAGTATAGAAGTATAGATGCTTCTAGGATAGATTTAACACTACAAATCTACCTCCACACGTATATACTTAAACACATCTACATATTTTCGAACCATAACCTGCCGTACGTGCTTCTTAAACTACAGGTACACTTTATAGCTCTTCTCAGTCTTTATAACTTGGCACTTAGTAGAGCAGTGCTGAAAGCTTGCTCGTATTAAGAAACTAAAAATAAGCAGTAAAGTAGGAAGCCTGTTGCTTTAACTGTTAGTTTAGTGCAAAAACGTGCACGGCTTAGTAGTGATGAATAGAAACATTGAGTAATAAAAGCAGCAAATTTGAATCGTTTGATTGAAAATATTATTGTTATAAGTTTGTTACATGTTGCGCCATTGTTCTATACACTTACCTAATAGCTGTATGGTATATATGTATATCCTGATAAGAGAAAACTTTTTTCTGAAAATACGTTAAATCGATGTAGATCTTCCTTTACTTTCCAAAATTGGAATATAGCAACCTCCTTTCATCCGATTGCTTTTATATTTTAACCTAACTAAGCCTTAAAATATAACACTTGAATAAACGAATGTTACTCATCCGCCATGTGGTCATATATTTCAAATATTTATCACCAAACGTTTGTTTAACATTTGAAATTTTGCAAACAATTGTGGTTTTGTGTACAAGAGCATCACGATTAACATAAGCTGACCTCTCGATACTAGCAAAGTTTTTAACAGTTATTTTACGAGCTGCGCACTCACACGACACTTAACACACCATTTTGATTGGCAATAAAATAGGATCATATTAGATTATATGATCGCAATATGCAATTTAGACGATTTCATCCGTAGCAAAAGATGCTTAGAAAAGCAATCAACTAACACTTGAAGTGTTAGGAATGACTTGAGCAGCAGCACATTGTTAGTAAAAGAAGTAAAATCGCGGTTGCGATACTTGTTTATGACTTATCTACCAGTAAGCTGGCAATTTAGCTAAAGTCATAAGACTAAGCTTGTACTGCGAGACATAAAGCTTTAAAAGGGTGGCAACATGGCAAAAGGTCAGTTGCTATAAACTCTTGTATTCGCATGAATATATATATATATATATGTATGTTTATAAACACATGTAAATTCATAAAATGTTAAAAAAAAAAATAGCACAAGAGGAGCATATTAGCTTTTTGACTCAAATATAGTAAAAGAGGGTGAAAGATTGCAAAATTTTGAGATTATTTATTGCGATTACATATAAATATATCAGTTCTTATTAAAACTAGGAATTTCATCTGCACTTTCAACTATCGAAATCTACACATATATAATTATCCTAAACTAATAATCAATATATTCGTATAACAGAGTTGAGTATAAAGCGTACGGTTATCAGAAATTATAATATATTAATGATAAATGCTATTCGAAAATGGGAGTATTATTTGGTTTTTCTGCGCATATCCGCTACGCGAATTTGATCCGACTCTATGGATAAATCTTAAAAATAACCGAATGAGCGAACATCCTTAGCAATAAAGAACATTTATTTTATTTTGATGTCACACATTCATATGTATTAGAATGAATGACTTTTTAGAAGAAGAATGCATGAATCGATATTTTATTATACCTAGTTATAATTAAAGGAAATATTCGAAATCCGTTTATAACATAAGACATCCGAATATCAGGAATTATAATACATTAATCATAACTATTATCTCAAATTATCGCTAGAAACCGGTTTTTCTTCATTCATATTTCTGGATAGTTGCGCGAATCTATATGAACGGATATCCGGTATTTAATACGGATAATATGTTTAATCGAATATCCTCAGTCTTACAACAAACATTTTTTTTTATCGAGCAATCGAGAGAAATTAGTGGTAGTAAAGGCCTTAAAAATACAGCTCTTTTAGCTATAATAAGTAATATGCGTAAAATGTGCTCTAGATCTTATACAAATATCTTTCTTTAAAAGGCTACCTTTATATTATATCACACGTTTTTCTCGAGTTCAATGTTTTAACTCAGCCTTTCCACAGCATTGCCGAATAGATAGCAGTAAATAAACCGTACTTAGTAAAGCAAGTTGTATTTTTTGGATTCATAAGCTCGTGTCTGCTGACATTCAGTAACATTTACCTGTAATTAGAAAAAAAAAGATAAATTCATTAAAATATGAGACCGGAGACAAAATATTGCGTTCATTATAAAGTTTTGTTATATGCACATAAATTTATTATACTTAAATTAATTCTTAACAATAAATTCCTGTCTTCTTTACCAACCATACAAATAAGGATTTTATTTTAACCTGTTTAATTTTAGAGCAGTCCCCAAATCTCAAGAACTTTTTATGAAAGAAAATAAGCGATCAATAATGCAATAACGGTAAGAGTGCGTAAACAAAATACGGATGCATAAAAATAACCATAATTTTATAGAAAACAAACGACAAGTGAAATTTCTTCCAAGTAAATATGCAAATACTTTTTTACTTCCCAAAAGAGTTTACAAGTTTTGCTCGGTTAAGTTTCATTAACTTAAACTAGTTTTTATTTTCTTCCGTTTTCTTTTCAAGAAAAGTAAAATAATAAAATCTAAAAAAAAAGAATAACCTTTCATTG